GTTGAGGATGGGGAGGGGAACTCCACCCGCTCCTGCTTTCCAAGCCCTACCAAAACCCTCCCTCTCTATCCCCACTCTACCCCATCTATACCTGCAACGCTTTCCCTTCATCTTTCCCCCTTCCCCCTCACAGTGCACCACTGCAGCCTGTCCGAGGCCGTTCAGAATGGAGAACGCAAGCGGCTCCTCCTGCGTTCTAAACCCTAACCCCTCCCTCTTTCCTCACCTCCCCCTGACTTCCCTCTGCATCGTTCTTCCCCATCCATGTTCCCCCCGCCCCCGCCCTCTCACCAGCCGGTGCACCTCCGCAGCCTGGCGAGGCGGAGGTCCTTGAGGATTGGGAACTCCACCCGCTCCTGTGTCGTGTGCCATGGTAACAAACGACGTGACTTTTGAGTCGACTCAAAAGTCACCTCGAGGCGGAGGCCCTTGAGGATTGGGAACTCCACCCGCTCCTGCACCCTAAGCCTTAAACCCTCTCCCTTTCCCCACTGCCCCTCTATCTCCCTCCCCATCTTCCCCCCGCCCTCTCACCTGCCGGTGCACCTCCGCGGCCTGCCGGAGGTCGTTCAGGATCGGGAACTCTAGACGCTCCTGCTCCCTCTTCTCTGCACTTGTCTTGCGCCACAGGTTGCTGCCACGCACACAACACGGAACGAAGCGATGGGGAGGGGTAAACAGGGCAGTGGAGGGAAGGAGGCGGTGAGGCGAGTAAGGAAGATAGTGAAAATAGTCTCCAAAGCGCAATCGAACCTCACTCACAGGAGCGGAACGACACTCGCTGCTCTACTCACACAACTCTCACGTCACCTGCAGGCTGCACCTCACGCCCTGCGCCCATCCCATGCAGTCAGTCCCACAACGACCACACTGGTGGCGCTCGCTCGTCCTTTCCTTGTAGTCGCACATCTCCGCTTGAGGGAAGAGCCCAACGCGGAAAACCTCAAGAGCCCAACGCGGAAAACGTCCTGTCCGTCCGGCCCACGTTGACCTACTCACGCAGCAGCAGCTCTCTCACCTGCCATGTCATGTCTCTCTCACACATCGCAACGCCCACACCACACCACACCACACCACACTGGTCTTACTCACTCATCCTTGTAGTCGCAGATCTCCGCTTGGGGAAAGAGCCCATCGGGAAAAAGGTCCTTCACCGGCACACTGGGAGGATCCGTCTGAACTCGCGGCCCTGCTGTTGTTGCTGCTGCTGCAGATTCTGTTGCTGATGCTGCCACTGCTGATCCTGCTGATGATGCTGCTTCCCCGTTTGTTGCATCGCCATTCGCTGCTGCTGCTGCTGCTGCTGCTGCCCCCGCGCCACCCCTCTTCCTGCGCAGCAAGGGCGGGAGCATGGATGCATGTCACAGGCTTAACCTACCCGAGCATGGGAGTGCGTGCACGCATGGGTGTGAAAGCGTGTGTGTGTGTGTGTGTGTGTGTGTGTGTGTGTGTGTGTGTGTGTGTGTGTGTGTGTGTGTGTGTGTGTGCAAGCACCTGTGCAACGTACACGCGTGTGCTTGCTCTTTCACTCACCCTCCCTTTAGACTCGAACCCTATGGCCCTCTCACTCCCCACTCTGCACAACCCCTCACCTGGGCTTGCGCTTTTTCTTGGTGGCTGTGCCTTCACCCGCTTCCTCTGATTGGATTATCACAGGGACGAGGGGAAGGGGAAAAGGGAGGGGGAGGAGAAGGGGGAAAGAGAGCCATGGAGAGGGACGGGGTGAGAGAGACAAGACATTATAGGCATGGCACGACAGGACCTGGGGTAGCGACCAGTCATCACTAGCAATATCACCATCATTAGCAGCTACTGCTGCTATTATTAACAGCAATACCAACCGTGTTATTAGCACCAGCGTTACTAGCCGCAGCGCTACTAGCAGAAGCAGAAGGGGAAAGCACCACACCACTGACTAACCTGCTCCGCCACCATCAGCGCCCTCCCCTTCCGCCCCTCCCTCCGCTGCTCCTTCCGCTTTCGATGCTGCCTGCCCACTCTCCACGGCCCCACCCGCACCCTCCTCCTGCCCCTGCTGCTGCGCCCCACCTCCCTTCTTGCCCTTCTTTTTCTTCTTCTTCTTGCTCTTCTGTCCTCCCGCCCCTTTCTCCTGCCATCCACCACCGCACACCACACACCACGCACGCCCCACCACGTCACGCCACACCAGACCGCATCACAGCATACCACAGCAAGCCATGCGGCACAGCACAAGGTAGGAGAAGGTCCGGCTCGTGATGCATGCATGCATGCATGGTCAAGAGAAAGTTTTCTACAATTGTTGTGAGTGGAACGGGGAATCAGAGAAAGCTTCTTAGAAGCAAAGCGTTGCCCACAAGTCTTGCAAACGCAAAGGTTCACAGGGGGGGGGGGGAGGGGGGGAGAGGGGGGAAGGGGGGCCGGGGAGAGGGGAAGGGGGGCGGGGGAGAAAGAGAGGTTCAAAGTGCAAGGGAATGAGACGAGGGGGGGAATTCTTTCGAAGACAGAATCCAAAACGACAATTTGGCGAGCCACGACAAACCCCCACATGTCTCACGGGAAAAGATTCTGCCCGGCGCCACAGCACACGCAGCTCGCGCCGCGTGGTAGCACGCGCGGCCTTCTAGCAGCCATAATTCTGAACATCTGCGTCTGCCCAGCAGTAGCAACTTCATTTTCCCTCTTCCACAATAAAACTTCAATCAATTCGAGCGCTCGTCACTCACAACTCACCTCTGCTGCTTCCTCGCCTTCCTCCACGTCATCTCCCAATCCCTCCTCCTCGTCGACTGCCGGATTCGACGGCGGATTCTGCGCGGCTGCCACCTCCTCTGCCGCTAGCGGACCTGGCATCGCGACGCGGTGAAGCGAGCCTCAAGGAATTGCAGAAACGAAAACGAAGCGGAATTTTGCGAGAATCAGGCACCAGTTGGAAACTTGGGAACGTGGCGAAAACTCCGCAAGGGACGGAAGGCGGCGGTGGAAGGGCGGAAGGAAAGACTGTGCCCAACGAGCACTAGTGGCTCCCAAGTAATAAGTGGCTGCCAACTGGGGAGGAACAGAATAGTGTACCCCTAAGGGCGCGGACGAAAACCCTAAGGGCGCGGACGATGGCGAAGGATGGCGAAGGTAACATCTATTTCTGGGGATGGCGGTTGTGTAGATTGATCTGCAGAATCGATGGAGGAGATTGATCGCCAACTGGACATACGGCCGACGTTGTTACAATCGTCATGACCTTGATGTGCTTCGCAGATTTTACAGACCCCAGAACAAGTACACTTACGAGTGTTTCAATAAACACAGCAACCCGATTTGCGAAACTCGCTTGCGTGTTGACGAATCATATGCATGTCAAGAAACCCAAGCATTTCCCAATTTCACCTTTCAGATTCCGACTTCTGTAGATTCTGGCGCTGCGGAGGCCAGCAGCGCCGTCCGCGTCAATGGCGTCGCCCTCGCGCACCTCCCCGCCATCCCCGCGCGGCCCCAACTTCTTCGCGGGCAATCCGCTGCTGCCACGTAAGCAGGAGAAAGCCAGCGTGGCGCAGCTCCTCAGCCCGCCCGACAGCGTTCCCGCCACACCGCCGCTCCCGCCGCTTTCCTCCCGCCCTAACTCCGCGCTTCCCGGCTCCGCGCCCGCGAAATCCCCCTTGGGCGTCGCGCATCTGCTGCGCGCAGTGCCCCCGTCAAGAACATCCTCGTTACCAGCGCATTACTCCCTGCCGCCCGGCGATGTGCCTATATCGAGTCTGCACGGGTCCAGCAGCGCGTCGACCCTTTTAGGCACACCAGATTCTTCGCGAAGCGAACCGAGTGGGATCCGGATCGAATCAAATCCGATCCGGATCGAGCCTCAGGTGCTGGCGGTTCTGGACGGGCGTGTCCTCGTCGCCTGGTCGCAGCGCCGCCTTCCATCCGCCGCTGCCGCTGCCTCCGATGACGTACCTCCAACGGAGGCTCGGCAATCCGGGCGTGCAACAGACCCGGTAACAGGTTCGGCAGCAGGTTCGGCAGTAGGCGCGGACGCATTGGCCTCTGGCTGGTGCCTGGCCTGGCAGCCGCTGTCCTCGTTCGAAGGTGGGAGCAGCAGCAGCGGAGGGGGTAGCAACAGCGGCAGCAGGGTGCGGGAGAAGCTGGTGTATCTGGGGGAGAGGCTCGGCGCGCCCCACTTCGCCCTCGAAGTGCAACTCGACCCCTCCGCCTCTGCTGCCGCTGCTGCCCATGCCGCTGCTGCTGCTGCTGCTGCTGCCCCCTCCTCCGCTGCTGGTGCCACTACCGCTGTTGGCCCCACCGCTGCCAATGCTGCCGCCAGTGGTGCTGCAGGCACTGCCGCAGCAGGGGCGGAAGTGAGAGGAGGGGGAGGAGGAGGAAGAGGAGGCGGGGACGTGGCGGGTCAACGGCTCACTGCCAGCCTGGCAACTCCTGCCACGCCTCCGCCCAGCCCTGACACGCCTGCCGAACCTGCTGTCGAGCCTGCGCTCGCTGCCCCTGCCAAAACTGGCGCAGCCGCTGCCAGCATTGCTCGCGACGCGACCGCGAATCAGGCTGCGGAGAACGAGGCAGCACAGGGGAATGGCAGCAGGGATAATGGGGGCAGTGGTGACGGAGGGGGGGGAGGAGAGCGAGGAGAGGGAGGAGAGAGAGGAGCAGGAGGAGGAGGAGGGCGGGGTGAGAGAGGAGGGGGAGGAGGGCGAGGGGAGAGGGAAGGGGGAGGGGTGGTGATGGTGGCGGGGTATGGGCGGGCAGTGTTTGTGGATCTGCGCACGCTCATGCTCGCCACGCATCCCCTTGACGCCCATGCACGCCACGACCTCGCAATTGCTGGCCATGTGAGTCGAGCAAAGGCTCTCCACCCTCCCTCACCCTCCCTCTACCCTCTCATCTCGCATCCCCTTGCAGCCTCTCCTCGCCCAACATTGCGTCTGCTCCCCTCTCACCCCCACCCTCGTCTCCGTCTCTCTGCATCCCTCCCTCCCCCTCCACCTCCCCTTCCCCCCACCAGGCGCGTGCCCTGCTAGCGTGGCATCGTTCGGCGCGCTTCTGCGGCACGTGTGGGGCGCGCGCAGCCCCCTGTGAAGCGGGAAACCGCACCGCCTCTAGCCACTCTCCTCCTATCTGCGTCTCCATCCCATCCCTCCCTCCACCAGGCGCGCGCCCTGCTAGCATGGCATCGCTCGGCGCGCTTCTGTGGCACGTGTGGGGCGCGCACGGCCCCCTGTGAGGCGGGCAACCGCCGCCTCTGCCCCGTCGCTGCCTGCCGCTCCAAGCTCAACCCACGCATCGACCCGGTACGGTGCTGTGCCTCAGTGACTTGTTGACCCGGTGAGCTCAGCTCTACCCGTGCATTGACCCCGTACGCTGCTGTGCCTCTGTGAGCTCAGCTCTATCTACCCGTGCATTGACCCCGTACGCTGCTGTGCCTCTGTGAGCTCAGCTCTATCTACCCGTGCATTGACCCCGTACGCTGCTGTGCCTCTGTGAGCTCAGCTCTATCTACACGTGCATTGACCCCGTACGCTGCTGTGCCTCTGTGAGCTCAGCTCTATCTACCCGTGCATTGACCCCGTACGCTGCTGTGCCTCTGTGAGCTCAGCTCTATCTACCCGTGCATTGACCCCGTACGCTGCTGTGCCTCTGTGAGCTCAGCTCTATCTACGTGTGTGGGCAGGGGAGCGTGTGCGCGTGTTATTGGAACAGTAGTGGAGTGGTGCATGTACGTGTGTGGGCAGGGGAGCGTGTGCGCGTGTTATTGGAACAGTAGTGGAGTGGTGCATGTACGTGTGTGGGCAGGGGAGCGTGTGCGCGTGTTATTGGAACAGTAGTGGAGTGGTGCATGTACGTGTGTGGGCAGGGGAGCGTGTGCGCGTGTTATTGGAACAGTAGTGGAGTGGTGCATGTACGTGTGTGGGCAGGGGAGCGTGTGCGCGTGTTATTGGAACAGTAGTGGAGTGGTGCATGTACGTGTGTGGGCAGGGGAGCGTGTGCGCGTGTTATTGGAACAGTAGTGGAGTGGTGCATGTACGTGTGTGGGCAGGGGAGCGTGTGCGCGTGTTATTGGAACAGTAGTGGAGTGGTGCATGTACGTGTGTGGGCAGGGGAGCGTGTGCGCGTGTTATTGGAACAGTAGTGGAGTGGTGCATGTACGTGTGTGGGCAGGGGAGCGTGTGCGCGTGTTATTGGAACAGTAGTGGAGTGGTGCATGTACGTGTGTGGGCAGGGGAGCGTGTGCGCGTGTTATTGGAACAGTAGTGGAGTGGTGCATGTACGTGTGTGGGCAGGGGAGCGTGTGCGCGTGTTATTGGAACAGTAGTGGAGTGGTGCATGTACGTGTGTGGGCAGGGGAGCGTGTGCGCGTGTTATTGGAACAGTAGTGGAGTGGTGCATGTACGTGTGTGGGCAGGGGAGCGTGTGCGCGTGTTATTGGAACAGTAGTGGAGTGGTGCATGTACGTGTGTGGGCAGGGGAGCGTGTGCGCGTGTTATTGGAACAGTAGTGGAGTGGTGCATGTACGTGTGTGGGCAGGGGAGCGTGTGCGCGTGTTATTGGAACAGTAGTGGAGTGGTGCATGTACGTGTGTGGGCAGGGGAGCGTGTGCGCGTGTTATTGGAACAGTAGTGGAGTGGTGCATGTACGTGTGTGGGCAGGGGAGCGTGTGCGCGTGTTATTGGAACAGTAGTGGAGTGGTGCATGTACGTGTGTGGGCAGGGGAGCGTGTGCGCGTGTTATTGGAACAGTAGTGGAGTGGTGCATGTACGTGTGTGGGCAGGGGAGCGTGTGCGCGTGTTATTGGAACAGTAGTGGAGTGGTGCATGTACGTGTGTGGGCAGGGGAGCGTGTGCGCGTGTTATTGGAACAGTAGTGGAGTGGTGCATGTACGTGTGTGGGCAGGGGAGCGTGTGCGCGTGTTATTGGAACAGTAGTGGAGTGGTGCATGTACGTGTGTGGGCAGGGGAGCGTGTGCGCGTGTTATTGGAACAGTAGTGGAGTGGTGCATGTACGTGTGTGGGCAGGGGAGCGTGTGCGCGTGTTATTGGAACAGTAGTGGAGTGGTGCATGTACGTGTGTGGGCAGGGGAGCGTGTGCGCGTGTTATTGGAACAGTAGTGGAGTGGTGCATGTACGTGTGTGGGCAGGGGAGCGTGTGCGCGTGTTATTGGAACAGTAGTGGAGTGGTGCATGTACGTGTGTGGGCAGGGGAGCGTGTGCGCGTGTTATTGGAACAGTAGTGGAGTGGTGCATGTACGTGTGTGGGCAGGGGAGCGTGTGCGCGTGTTATTGGAACAGTAGTGGAGTGGTGCATGTACGTGTGTGGGCAGGGGAGCGTGTGCGCGTGTTATTGGAACAGTAGTGGAGTGGTGCATGTACGTGTGTGGGCAGGGGAGCGTGTGCGCGTGTTATTGGAACAGTAGTGGAGTGGTGCATGTACGTGTGTGGGCAGGGGAGCGTGTGCGCGTGTTATTGGAACAGTAGTGGAGTGGTGCATGTACGTGTGTGGGCAGGGGAGCGTGTGCGCGTGTTATTGGAACAGTAGTGGAGTGGTGCATGTACGTGTGTGGGCAGGGGAGCGTGTGCGCGTGTTATTGGAACAGTAGTGGAGTGGTGCATGTACGTGTGTGGGCAGGGGAGCGTGTGCGCGTGTTATTGGAACAGTAGTGGAGTGGTGCATGTACGTGTGTGGGCAGGGGAGCGTGTGCGCGTGTTATTGGAACAGTAGTGGAGTGGTGCATGTACGTGTGTGGGCAGGGGAGCGTGTGCGCGTGTTATTGGAACAGTAGTGGAGTGGTGCATGTACGTGTGTGGGCAGGGGAGCGTGTGCGCGTGTTGTTGGAACAGTAGTGGAGTGGTGCATGTACGTGTGTGGGCAGGGGAGCGTGTGCGCGTGTTATTGGAACAGTAGTGGAGTGGTGCATGTACGTGTGTGGGCAGGGGAGCGTGTGCGCGTGTTATTGGAACAGTAGTGGAGTGGTGCATGTACGTGTGTGGGCAGGGGAGCGTGTGCGCGTGTTATTGGAACAGTAGTGGAGTGGTGCATGTACGTGTGTGGGCAGGGGAGCGTGTGCGCGTGTTATTGGAACAGCAGTGGAGTGGTGCATGTACGTGTGTGGGCAGGGGAGCGTGTGCGCGTGTTATTGGAACAGTAGTGGAGTGGTGCATGTACGTGTGTGGGCAGGGGAGCGTGTGCGCGTGTTATTGGAACAGTAGTGGAGTGGTGCATGTACGTGTGTGGGCAGGGGAGCGTGTGCGCGTGTTATTGGAACAGTAGTGGAGTGGTGCATGTACGTGTGTGGGCAGGGGAGCGTGTGCGCGTGTTATTGGAACAGTAGTGGAGTGGTGCATGTACGTGTGTGGGCAGGGGAGCGTGTGCGCGTGTTATTGGAACAGTAGTGGAGTGGTGCATGTACGTGTGTGGGCAGGGGAGCGTGTGCGCGTGTTATTGGAACAGTAGTGGAGTGGTGCATGTACGTGTGTAGGCAGGGGAGCGTGTGCGCGTGTTATTGGAACAGTAGTGGAGTGGTGCATGTACGTGTGTGGGCAGGGGAGCGTGTGCGCGTGTTATTGGAACAGTAGTGGAGTGGTGCATGTACGTGTGTGGGCAGGGGAGCGTGTGCGCGTGTTATTGGAACAGTAGTGGAGTGGTGCATGTACGTGTGTGGGCAGGGGAGCGTGTGCGCGTGTTATTGGAACAGTAGTGGAGTGGTGCATGTACGTGTGTGGGCAGGGGAGCGTGTGCGCGTGTTATTGGAACAGTAGTGGAGTGGTGCATGTACGTGTGTGGGCAGGGGAGCGTGTGCGCGTGTTATTGGAACAGTAGTGGAGTGGTGCATGTACGTGTGTGGGCAGGGGAGCGTGTGCGCGTGTTATTGGAACAGTAGTGGAGTGGTGCATGTACGTGTGTGGGCAGGGGAGCGTGTGCGCGTGTTATTGGAACAGTAGTGGAGTGGTGCATGTACGTGTGTGGGCAGGGGAGCGTGTGCGCGTGTTATTGGAACAGTAGTGGAGTGGTGCATGTACGTGTGTGGGCAGGGGAGCGTGTGCGCGTGTTATTGGAACAGTAGTGGAGTGGTGCATGTACGTGTGTGGGCAGGGGAGCGTGTGCGCGTGTTATTGGAACAGTAGTGGAGTGGTGCATGTACGTGTGTGGGCAGGGGAGCGTGTGCGCGTGTTATTGGAACAGTAGTGGAGTGGTGCATGTACGTGTGTGGGCAGGGGAGCGTGTGCGCGTGTTATTGGAACAGTAGTGGAGTGGTGCATGTACGTGTGTGGGCAGGGGAGCGTGTGCGCGTGTTATTGGAACAGTAGTGGAGTGGTGCATGTACGTGTGTGGGCAGGGGAGCGTGTGCGCGTGTTATTGGAACAGTAGTGGAGTGGTGCATGTACGTGTGTGGGCAGGGGAGCGTGTGCGCGTGTTATTGGAACAGTAGTGGAGTGGTGCATGTACGTGTGTGGGCAGGGGAGCGTGTGCGCGTGTTATTGGAACAGTAGTGGAGTGGTGCATGTACGTGTGTGGGCAGGGGAGCGTGTGCGCGTGTTATTGGAACAGTAGTGGAGTGGTGCATGTACGTGTGTGGGCAGGGGAGCGTGTGCGCGTGTTATTGGAACAGTAGTGGAGTGGTGCATGTACGTGTGTGGGCAGGGGAGCGTGTGCGCGTGTTATTGGAACAGTAGTGGAGTGGTGCATGTACGTGTGTGGGCAGGGGAGCGTGTGCGCGTGTTATTGGAACAGTAGTGGAGTGGTGCATGTACGTGTGTGGGCAGGGGAGCGTGTGCGCGTGTTATTGGAACAGTAGTGGAGTGGTGCATGTACGTGTGTGGGCAGGGGAGCGTGTGCGCGTGTTATTGGAACAGTAGTGGAGTGGTGCATGTACGTGTGTGGGCAGGGGAGCGTGTGCGCGTGTTATTGGAACAGTAGTGGAGTGGTGCATGTACGTGTGTGGGCAGGGGAGCGTGTGCGCGTGTTATTGGAACAGTAGTGGAGTGGTGCATGTACGTGTGTGGGCAGGGGAGCGTGTGCGCGTGTTATTGGAACAGTAGTGGAGTGGTGCATGTACGTGTGTGGGCAGGGGAGCGTGTGCGCGTGTTATTGGAACAGTAGTGGAGTGGTGCATGTACGTGTGTGGGCAGGGGAGCGTGTGCGCGTGTTATTGGAACAGTAGTGGAGTGGTGCATGTACGTGTGTGGGCAGGGGAGCGTGTGCGCGTGTTATTGGAACAGTAGTGGAGTGGTGCATGTACGTGTGTGGGCAGGGGAGCGTGTGCGCGTGTTATTGGAACAGTAGTGGAGTGGTGCATGTACGTGTGTGGGCAGGGGAGCGTGTGCGCGTGTTATTGGAACAGTAGTGGAGTGGTGCATGTACGTGTGTGGGCAGGGGAGCGTGTGCGCGTGTTATTGGAACAGTAGTGGAGTGGTGCATGTACGTGTGTGGGCAGGGGAGCGTGTGCGCGTGTTATTGGAACAGTAGTGGAGTGGTGCATGTACGTGTGTGGGCAGGGGAGCGTGTGCGCGTGTTATTGGAACAGTAGTGGAGTGGTGCATGTACGTGTGTGGGCAGGGGAGCGTGTGCGCGTGTTATTGGAACAGTAGTGGAGTGGTGCATGTACGTGTGTGGGCAGGGGAGCGTGTGCGCGTGTTATTGGAACAGTAGTGGAGTGGTGCATGTACGTGTGTGGGCAGGGGAGCGTGTGCGCGTGTTATTGGAACAGT